AAATATTGTCATATTTTGTCACTATTACCCTCAATGTGTGACGATTTTTTTTTGACATTATTTCATTATTTTTAATGATGAATTTGTTTTTGTCTCTATTGGTAGCTTATTTGACAAAAAAAATTTGTCTTCGTTTATATTAAACGTGACAAAATTATTTCGTCTCTATTTCTTATATTTATGACAAAATACTTTTGTCTCTAATTTCTTTCTTTAATGACAAAATATTTTGTCGCTAATTACTTACAAGTATGTTCCCAACAGAGTGTATTGGAGACAAAAAAATTCATCACAAATTTATCATTTTTAATAATGAATTTGTTTTTGTTTCTATTGGTAGTTTCTTTTGACAAAAATTTTTCATCCTCGTTTATATTAAACGTGACAAAATTATTTCATCTCTATTTCTTATATTTATGACAAAATACTTTTTTCTCTAATTTCTTTCTTTAATGACAAAATATTTTGTCGCTAATTACTTACAAGTATGTTCCCAACAGAGTGTATTGGAGACAAAAAAATTCGTCACAAATTTATCATTTTCAATGACGAATTTGTTTTTTCGTCTCTAAGACCCTTTAGCGACGACGCTTTGGCAACAAAATGAGTGACAAAAAATTTTCGTCGTAATTAGTTTGAGTGACGAAATATATACATTTTGGGACAAATTTGTTTCATCTTTAAATCCCAAATTTGTTGTAAACATTATTCATCAAACATCGAACATTAGCAACGTCAGGATTATTTATCAAACATCAAGGGGTTTCAACCCTTCCTCGTTCCAGTGAAACAGGTGCCTACTAAGAGTCCCTTGAGGCATGTATTCATAAACCAGTAGCCTCTCATTTCCATCCAAGCAGCAACCCAAGAGAGAAACCAATTGCCTATGTCGAACCTTAGTAAGCACTGCAATCTCAGACTTGAACTCATCCAAACCCTTGTCACTCACCACTCCAGACTCCATCCTCTTAACTGCAATCTTAGTCCCATCATGCAACTCTCCTTTGTAAACTTTTCCAAATCCTCCTCTTCCCAATATGTTCCCTTCGCTAAAATTGTTGGTCACAGTCTTCAAAACTTGAATGGAGATTACCATATTTCTAGCTTTAATAACATGAATATCACTAGGTCTACGACTGTCATGACTGTATGTTTCACCCGTTGTCCCACCAGTCAAACCCAAATCAGCAATGGTAATCTTAACAGCATCATGGTCTGAACCTGACTGATGAGGACAAACCACCATGGCATTTGGACTCTGCACCATACAAGAATGCTTTTGTTTAGCCCTACAAATGCAGAACACACTAACCCCAACAGCCAATACTGCACAAATACAACTAATTACCAAACCCACAACCACACCAGTCGACTTATTGCCACTACTTCTTGAAGTCTTTGTTCCACTAACTGAGGGCGTACCCGGCAATGGACTAACACTATCTTTCCCAATATCCAGATTCCCGTCAGTTTTTACAAGTACATTACTCTGAAAAGATGGAATGTTCCCATAAAGTCGGTTGTTCGAAACATCTAATTCTCTTAGGTTAGGCAAAGTTGTGAGCTCATTAGGGATAGTACCCGTAAGATTGTTATTAGCAAGTATTAGTCTCTGCAACGAAGTAATTGATGAAAAATTGGGAGCAATCTTACCACTAAGACCCATTTTCTGAAAATTGACAATAGTAATGTCTCCATTAGAACAAGTGAGACCCATCCATTGGACACAAGGATCATTCCCTTTCCAACTATCCGCAAACACCGTTGGATAACCAACAGATTGTGCAATCGTAAGCAATGTATTAACCCGGGAATCGCAACCAACACCAGGATCAGATAAGCAGAAACTATTAGTCCCAATTGTCATATCAACTGCAACCAAAGAATGAAATTTTGGGGTCGGGCCTTGTAACAGATTGTTTGTCAAATTCACAACTTTAAGCGATGGAAGGTTCACAAGAGACACGGGTACTAAACTCGTGATCCGATTGTCCCTAACACTGAAATTCTGCAACCCAGTTAGCCCTGAAAGTTCCGGTAAAGGACCTGAAAAAGAATTGGAATGTAACCACACTTGGTTCAATTGGGTCATGTTCTGTATCACCCCAATTGAGCCATTGAGCTTAGAACTAATACCCCGTTGCCCATTCAACCACAGAGACTGAATCGATGAACCCGAAAAGCTTCCCGGTAATCCACCCTCGAGATTGTTGAATGCCAAATGCAAGGAACCCAGATTCACAAACCCGCCAAAGAATTCGGGAATGTTTCCGATTATATTGGCCGCACTGGTAGAGAAAACCTGGAGAGCTGAGGTGTTTTGGAGACTTTTCGGGATTCGCCACGGCGAATAGGGGTTGTAATCGAGATAAACACCTTGAAGAGATGTCATTTCGAGAAAGAAGTCGGAGGGAATGGAAGAGAAATTGTTGTTGTTGAGGAACAAGAACTGGAGAGAACTCAACCCGGACAAACTCGGAACCGGACCAGTGAGTTGGTTGGACATGAACTCGAGTCTCTGCAAGAAAGTGAGTTTGACGAGACTCGGAGGAAAAGAGCCTTTCAGCTTCTGATGCCCAATTTGGATTCGGGTGACTCGATTGTCGCTGGAGCAACCCACGTTCTGCCATTTGCAGGGGTCTGAGTCGGTCCAGCCGAGTGAACTCAGAGGGTTGATGCTCTGCTTGAGAGCCTGCATTACTGAAGCGTCGTCACTCTGACAGTGAACAAAGACAAAAGAGGAGAGGAGAGAGAGGAATATGAGGGATAAAACCCTAGAATCAAGATGGGGTGTTGTGTCCATATTCTCGAGAAAATCAGGGAGAAAGAGGAAGAAAACCATGAGAGACAGTGGTGGTGATGGGGGAGTTGATCTTGTTTAGAAGTAGCAGGGAATGGCATTTTATAAGTAGCAAAGAAAACCATAAAGAGTAATGTTGGAGATATAAATAGAAGAATCTTATATGTATTAATTAGTATATTATAGATGATGTAAGATAATTTTAGAGATTTTAAATATTTATAATTTGTATAATAGGTAGAGTCAGTAATAATGACATAATATTAATTGATATATTAATGTGTATATTAATAGGTAGAGTCAGTAAGAAAACCATGAGACACAATGGAAGCCTATTTTCTTTATTCACATAATCTATGAGCTCTACCCATTGTATAAACTCTGAAAACGATAAAGCATGATGCCCAGATTGCATGGGGCAATTCCCCAGACCTGTGAAATGGTGTTACATCTCAAGAGGCAATGCGCTACCTTTTTCAACTTCTCACTACAGACGCCATAAACATCAGAACTAAGAATTATCAAGCCCGACCTTACCATAAAGCTAGCCAAGTCCAAGCTTCAGGCCTTAAAATTTGAGAAGGGCCAATTTTATAATATAATGTAATAAGCCCATGTGATTTATTATTTACTCTTTGAATAAAAAGGCCCAAAACAAACAAAAGGACCCAAACTTTATTTTACATTAAAAATTAAAAAAAAAATTAAAAAAATGCAATCTTACAGTTCTTTTTTTTTTAGATGGGAAAGTTGAGTTCTCCCTCTCTCTATATATATACTGGCATATACCCGTGTCTGAAGATACGGTGTAAATAATATTAAAATTAGAATATAATTGTAATCCCAATACTATTTAAATTTATTTACACCGTGCCATGCGACTCTTCCCAATATGTTCACGACTACAACATATACATTTCATTTGAATGGTTGGAATGATTCCCAATATGTAGGATTAAGAGATACATTTCATTTGAATGGTTGGAATGATTCCCAATATGTAGGATTAAGAGATACATTTCATTTGAATGGTTGGAATGATTCCCAATATGTAGGATTAAGAGATACATTTCATTTGAATGGTTGGAATGATTCCCAATATGTAGGATTAAGAGATACATTTCATTTGAATGGTTGGAATGATTCCCAATATGTAGGATTAAGAGATACATTTCATTTGAATGGTTGGAATGATTCCCAATATGTAGGATTAAGAGATACATTTCATTTGAATGGTTGGAATGATTCCCAATATGTAGGATTAAGAGATACATTTCATTTGAATGGTTGGAATGATTCCCAATATGTAGGATTAAGAGATACATTTCATTTGAATGGTTGGAATGATTCCCAATATGTAGGATTAAGAGATACATTTCATTGGAATGGTTGGGATGATTCCTAATCAATATCTAATAGTTAGCATGTAGTCCATATTCTAGCGTATGCCCGTGCCTGAAGGCACAGTATAAATAATATTAGGATTATAATATAATTGTAATTGCAACACTATTTAAATTCAAGATTAAAATGCAATTATAAAAATATATTTAATAGACTACACTCTACAATTCCAAACAAATCAAATATAAAAAAAAATTAAATATCAAATAGCAAACTGGTGCCCGCAGGCCTGATGCCCAAACTCATACACTGATACATGCATTCCTGTAGAGACGCACTCTAAAGCACATAACAGATAAGTGAGAGC